TCTTGCGGGAGTCCACCGTTAGAGATAAACCGTCAACGAAAAGCGAGCAACAGATTTAAGGGGCAGGAACCAATCAACTGCTGTTGGGGGAAGGGGAGAGGGCGTAGAGTATGGTGGGGGGAAGGAGGAGGATTAATGATTAATTAGTCTCCACCCTCCCCTCCTCCACCTCTACCCCACGCCCACTCCTCCTCCTTCCCTCCACCCTACCCTACGCCCTCCCCCCTTCCCCCAATAACAGTTGATTGGTTCCTGCCCCTTATATCTGTTGCTCGCTTTTCGTTGACGGTTTATTTCTGACGATGGACTCTCACAAGAGCCCGAAAGCTCAGAAGAATAACATTATGATTCCGGTGATCGCAACGACTTTTTTTTTACAAATACGTGGGATGCGAACCTTTGCTTCTATTCGACAGACGTTTATTCCAGCTATGGAGACCTCCGATGTGACCCGCACCTGTTCACTTATATTTAGATCACCATGAGTACTTTGTTTCTCACTAAACGTAATACGAACTTCTAACGGGAACATAAGAACATTAGAGGATGAGTTATCATCGGACCAACAATGCTTTTGCATAGACAAGTGCCTAGATTTTTGTGAGATAATTTAGATCGGACCATCTGTTTGAATTAATTGGGCGTAAAGTGCAGTTCAGCAGCTTTATCAGTTACCTGGAACGACTTATAGAGAAAGGTGACAGGACGATGTGCAAGTAAGGTTTTTGCTAGGCATACACCTTCAGTTTACCATGGCAGATCATACTTTTCTGAAATGAAAGCGGGAAACTATGTCCTTAAATTGTTTTCACCGCATGCGGTTGATAAGATAGTCAATGTGTATTTTAACACTTCCTCTGACAAGAATCTCAGTGCTGAATAAGTGGCGGAAAGGTGAGCTGACCCACTTCTGAACACAAGATTTAAGGCAAACTGCGGGATCTGGTAAGCATGGTCATTTGCAAATAACGTCTAAATTATAAGTAATTGGGGTGTTTAGGTGGGTTAGTATTTTGGGATAAATCGGATCCGAGCACATAGTTAATATTCCGGACCCCTACTCAACTCATGCTCCAAACATAACATTCACAGGAAACGTCAATTTTTGCAGTATGGGGCCAATAGATAATAATTTCGGTCACGGTTTCTATAAAGTATTTTCAGATTTCTTGGTACGTTGGAAATAAAGACTAAATATGCATGCAGCAGATGTCGTCGGTGAGCAGGTGCGTCAATTACCAGCATACTGAAGTGAATTAAATACCTAGGGAGAGCGCTGTGCGATACTTACTTATACGCATCACAACATTAAGATACCTCACAGCCATATGGCGTCGCAACCAAATGTAAGCATTTAAACAAATTTAAAAGTAGCTGAGATTTGCAGTTGGTCTGCAGAAATATGGCAGCGGTGCAGGTAGGTACACGAGAGTTCCAGCAGACGGAAAAAGTTTCGATGGGCAGTTTCCAGAGACCAGTTTTCTAACATCTTGCTTCTTACCTCCGTCTTAAATGCTTCTCGTGACATTGAAGTTGCAAACACTTCATTTTCATAAAACAAGATAAACAGCATTGAGCAGTTGTGGAGAATACCACAGTCAAATGACTGTTATGCCAAACCTCATCGAAAAAGCAATAACAGCTGACGCTAGTCATGGGATAAAACTGCACATCAGAGGAGTAAACCAACGACTAATATCAACCGCAGGCTGGACTTCCACCTAGGATGTTTAGGCAGTTAGTATTTTGGACTTAATAGGATCCGGGAGTATAACTTATATTCCGAAGCCTTATCTATCTAAGGATAACCATGTTAGGGATATGTTATCCGAACTAAATAGAAACACTAAAAAACTTGAAAGGTAGCTGAGATACGCATGCGGTTTGAAGCAATACTACAAAGGTGTATTTCCAGCAGACGGACGTCCTTTTGAGATGCAGTTCCTAACCAGCTGTATTCTAATCATCGCCATCTCCTCTGGCAGTTTATTAGGACTATATGCTACCATCGCATATGAGGTGCAAAGACGATAATTTGTAATGACAAAGGTACCAGTGAGCAGCGTCTTATCCCTGATTTTTAGTGGAGATGATCACAACAAAAGGCCTGCACAAACAAATCTGATCTAAACTAAAACAACAGCTGAAGCCGAAAGTGAATCAACCGCCAACATTAACCGCATAGAAGCCCAGCGTGCGTTGCTCACCGCTAAAAAAAACGAGGAAAAAAAGAAGTCAATATTTATCTTAACAAAAAATAGTCGACATTTATTCAGAAAGTACGATCAGGGAAGCAGAAACCGCGGTCGAATAAAACGGAGATGTGCACAAGATCAGAATTCCTGAGAGAGATCATTCATTGGGGACGCCACAGGCCATATTAAGTGGCTCGGCGTGGTCCATGAGCTTTGGTCGAGGAAGATTTAAATTGTTCATTATTTCGATAAATTCCGCCTTCGATTTAGTGAATCTACACAAAGGAGAAGGGAAACCAAGAACGCAACAGTAAGTGGAAAAAAGTTGGGGATAAATGTATTTGAAATTTCTGACGTCCTGCTACAGGAATATAGTGAGGAACTAGAATGTCCGACAATGGTTGCCGGTTGAACTGCCTGAGCTTGTGATTTGATGACTGAGTCGTCTGGTTATTAAGAACAACTTTTGTGCAGTCAGGATTCGAACCGTTCTTCATAATCTTCCATCATATCACCATAGTCACTATGTGACGGTCTAGCGGGCTCTAATTGTGAGCTCTTGGGCAAACCGGAACTTTATTATTCCTCGGTGATACATATATATTCATCATATTTCCGATCTCATTTGACAAAGCAATGAGCCCGTGGGGTCGTAGTAGTGTTAAACTCAATGGCCAAAGGTCCTGGGTTCGAATCTCGGCGGTTCCGACCCTTGAGATTGGGTATGACTGGCTGATTACGCCTTACAAGCCAGAAATGGCCATTCCAGTTTCCTTTTGCTTTGTCGGATCCATTACATAATCTACAGATCTCCCTGGAATTATGAGATAAGTTAAGTAATTGTTACTTACTAACTTTGGCAGTAGTCCCCACTGTGATTGGCACGACACTGCTAGCCATGGCTTACCCACGCAGAACACTAGCCACATCTGTGGTAGCAGGTCTCAACAGGTTTTTAGTCAATCTGTCTGAGGGATCGGCGTCTTTCTCATCACAGGACCGATCATAGCTAGGTTGACCTGGGTCAACGTGGTTTAACCAGGAAAAGTGGTTTTGCGATCATCAGCGTGGTGCGTTGCAGCCCTCTATTTCTCGCCAGTCTCATCAGCGGCTGCACAGCCAACATTCGAGAACTTTTGCGATGTGCGGAAATAAGTCACTCTGCAAACAGATGACATAAATGAAGTGATGCAAGCTTAAATTGGAAAGAGACTCAAACCCTACAAGGGATAGGGCCCTCTCGCAAACAATGTGAGGTCTTCTTAGATGCCAGGTTCATGGAGGACAGGAAGACAATGTCAATAATCTAATGGCCCAATGATTGCAAATAATATTTTGATTTGAAGAGAATTTTCAAATGAGATGCTTCGAGAAAAAAATATTTCAAGTTGGTTTTAGGGCAAAAGGTGATAATGCAAATCAATGCTAAAGAATATTTTACACAGATGAAGCTGCTGCCCACTGCTGGGGTCTGTAATACGTATAAATTAAACTAACTCCACAGGCCGTTGCGGGTTGTTGCTTCCCGCAAACACACATTATTCATCTGTGCTCATTAACAGCTTTCGTATCGTATTCTCCTTGGTATGAAAACAATGAATCGTCCAAGTGATGAGTCAGTTAGACTGGCAGGATTACCTCCAAGCGCTCCGTACAGTTGTTACAATGATCCTAGGATCCATCTCTCTTCTCTGAGTTCCAAATTACAATTTAAAGCAGATATGCTGTTTCGTGACATGTTAGCCAAAATTCTGATATTTGTTTTCCGCTTGAAACTACTGCTTTCGTATGCTTGAGCTATAACTTATCATACAGCATAATATCAATATTTGCCCGTTAAGTTACAAGTTCACCTAATTTGTAGATTTGTTAGACTGCCTGTATAAAGCGCGACTAAGTAGTGTGTATTTTGCTCCTCTTGGAAATTCAAACATATTTAACCTAATAAAATAAACCTAATTGTTTTCTGTGCACTCATTTATCAGAGTCTTTAAATGTTATCCTCGAAGAAACGTCATTTTCGGTTCGTAATGATTTTTTTCAATTTCCAATTAATTTTCAACCCAATCTGCCACTTCATTTGCATTCTCGCTTTCCAAACTAATACATAATTAGTATACATGTTTCATCATTAATTTGCAATACCCTCGTATACCGAAGTAAATGTTCTAAACTACTACAGAACATACTCGCTCTCTAAATTACTTGGCAGCGCACTATTTTTTTCAAGCATTAAAGACAACGGAAGTGCATTCTTTTGTTTAAAATAACTTTTTTTCAAATTCCCAAATAACTTCAACTTCGATCTGTTGTTAAAGTCGCTTTCAGAGATTTTAACATGCATACTCTTCCCATTCCGTCTTGGGAAAATAAAGTATTGGACTACGTTCTCAGGGAGGCGTCATATAATGCAATGGACGTGAACCATTTTGTATCCATTATAAGCACATGCACGGTTTTAAAGAACGCATAATAAAAGGATTTTTTGAACTGAAAGATACCAAACATAATGTGAAGAGTGCGTTAGTTCCTACGAAACGAGTTAAGAGAGAGAAGAAGAAGAATGCTATAGTGAGGATTTTAAAACCTGAATTTTCAGCAAAAATGGCTCCATTCACGGAGAGCAGATGGTAAGGCAAATAAAGGGTCATTTTAAAAGGTCTATTAGCAAAATTGCTCCATTCACGGAGAGCAGATGGTAAGGTAAATAAAGGGTCATTTTAAAATAATGATATGTAGTCAGGTCAGGTTTATTAAGGGAAATGTAGGTAAATGCCTTTGAACTTGCTATTGGTACAAAACAGCTATGAAATGCATTGGTTCAGCATTGGTGAATGTTTTTTTATAGAACTTCTTTGAATTTATATGGGCATCAAAAATCAATTGTAAAAATCTGACTACTTATAAACTCACAGTTACAGAATGGAGCCGCCTGTACAGAAGCCGTCATCTTGGTTTGAATTAAATAGAAGACTAAGCAATATGGAACTCCCAAAACTAACATGCAATGTTCGAACCGGGCAAAAATTTCAGCATTTGGTATAACAATTCGGGACGCCAGGGAAGATGAAGCACTCTCCTGTTTTTTCGTTTACCTGGGGTTTAATCTCCGTTCTTCGTCCACAGTGGTCATCATGCGACCGGTGTAGTCATGTCCTGGGAATAGAAAGTAATTTCTGGGCAAAGAAAGGACCTTGGAATGGACAGAGTCGTAGAGCTGCTCTGCGGAACCCTCCTGGAAGTCGGTCCGACCGCAGCCGCGGACAAACAAGGCGTCTCCAGTGAATGCCGCACCAACGGAATGCAGCACAAAGGTCGTGCAGCCTGGTGTATGGCCTGAAGGGGGAAACAGGAAGGAATATCTGTAAGGCAGGCCGCATTGGCACAGAGTGAAGCAAGTGACTGAGCTAATGAAATGCTTATCACTATACCAAAACACAGTTGGTTTAGGAGAGGCTGCTTCATTGGGGTTTCAGGATAGAATCTCCACTGGCATTATTGCATTCTATTTGGAGTGCACCCCTTTTCGACCGTCTACATGTTAACCAAACAAAAATATCTAATTAGGTAGAATAAACTTCTTCCAGAAAAAATGCCTCCCACAAACTCTCCCTTCTTGTCATCTGTTGATAGCCGGTCAGGCTTTCTTCAGAATCATTTTGGTTTTGAAAATATTTCCTACTCATGAGATTTTTCAAGACGTTTAAATGTCAATTTGAAGCGTGTCGTAATATTGTGTTTCTTACTGCTCATACTGAAGCAAACAACATAATTCACGCGTCCTTTAAAAGGTGCCGAACACCCTATGGCATATACGTGTTTGGAATAGGTTATCTTCTTTACATGGAGAGAATAAAGCTCGTAGACTAAAAATCCTAAGCGAAAATCCAACAGCAGATTGGACTGAAGATTATGTGGGAATTCGGAAAATTTTCTTCAAAAAGTTAAATACACACCTCCTAGAAGTAAACCATTTAAGGACTACTTACTTCAGCGACCAATTAATACCTGAAAGCATATTTTAGTGTTATTTTCTGTGGAATATACAAAAAGTCATATTGGCATCAAAAGTCCTTTCTAAAAACCACTTAGTAAAAGTCGCGGTACGGATTCCTTATAGGGGTCACATGGAAAACGTGTGAAGCGCGCCCGTCGCGCTCACGGGCACCTGCTTTTAGGGGAGAGGACGGGCGGGGCATGTCAGGAAACAAATTAGATCGCAATATTTCTGTAAATTAAAAAAAGTTACGAGAACAAGTTGGATCACGTACTCAAACCATGGGAAAAGACACTGAAATATGATTTGATATCATCGCTAACCCCCCGCCGACACACAAACACCCACGCCGGGCCGCGAAAATGCGCATTTTGTTAGAGTGAATAGGAACAAAGAAGAACGGCATTTTGAGTTGATTCTCGAACACGCAGCCGCTAGTATGCTTTGTAGCTGACGCTTATTTTATCAAATAAGTAGGACTCCCATTCGGCCCATTGCGAATGACCGGCGAGGATCTTGATCGATGTTTTAGACTTGTTCAATCAGCGCCTGATAGTCGGGTCACATG